TTCATGAGTTCCGGCACCTTTTTTCTTACAACAAAAACACTGATCATAATATTATTAATATTAATAATAACAACTGCATTTTTTCTTGCATTTCTAGTAGTAAGCAGAACTGAATAGGTGTGGCGGCTCAGAATATGCATTTGTTCAGGGAATAAAATTTGCAGTCCAACTTTGTGAGCAAAAACTGTAGTTGGTTTCGCATTAAAATGTGAATGAGTGAAGACTAGGAGCAGATCCCAAGAAACCAAATATGGGCAGTTGGTGAAAGAGTGCTACATAAACAGCAGCCTGAGAAGCAGGAACCTAAAGATTTCAGCAGAGATTGAGATTTCAGGGGAAAAGGCAGAGAAGGAGAGCAGGTGGAGGAAGAGATTCTGACTCAAAGATTTCCGGAGAAACTTCACAGTGTTTAAAAGGATGTAGCAGATCATATCATGTCATCATATTACTCTTCCTATCATGGGTGATCTGCTGGGAGGTAAACCCATCAGTGGGTTGAACCTCTCATTTTTGTGCTACTACTTCTCTTTCTAACAGCCCTTCTCTGTCTCTGTCCTTTTGCAGCAGACTAGTGGGAAAGGAACAGATAGTGCTTGCCAGAGAGCTGACCTAATCATTTGCAGCGAAAGACAGACAGACAGACAGACAGACAGACAGACAGACAGACAGAGAGAGAGAGAGAGAGAGAGAGAGAGAGAGAGAGAGAGAGAGGTGCTAGAGATGACTACTTATGAGACAATATGACTAAAGTTAGCGGGATAAAGTAGGTGCTGGTGCAGAAGCAGGGACTTGGTAAAATAAGGTCTGGCACAACCCTGGAGTAGAAAGGAGTAACCAAAGATAAAGCCGGATGGGCAAAATTATAGAGAGAGCCTACAGACAGAGGTGTGGTAACCTGTTGTGGACTGTGGGAGAGAGTTTTTCACAAGCAGTTTTGATGAAAGGGAATGACCAATTCAGCTTGTGTCATTTAAATGAGAATTGTTAAAGTTGATTTATTGCTGTTATCCAATACCTCTTAGATTCAGTAAAATATAGAAAATATAATTGTGTAAGTTGGAAATGTGGGATGCAATCATCTGATTATATGCCTATATGCTGGATATGTCCAAAAATTCAAGTTATAGATAGATGGCTAACTTGTCTTTAGCCCTAAATGCTATTAGAGCCCTTTTTGTGATCCCAAACTCCACCAGCCAATGATCTCTAATTTGCTAACGGCAGCAAACATTATTATTGCCAAGAACTGGAAAATACAAAAGCAAATGCATGTAAAGGGTGGTTTTTAAAGTTTGGCTATTTGGGAATCCTGGAAGTCCATGTTGCAACTCCAGGCAGGTCAGATTTGGTGCACAAGCCTGATTACCAAACATCACTTAACCTTAGTAACCTGGTTCACATTTCCATTTCTCTCCTGCTGTTGCTTTATAAAATGTGCAGCATAAGTTTGCACAATGATGTTGCTTCACTGAAGAAGGAATGTCCAATTGAGCATTCTTCTGTGGTCTCTAAAGATAGCAAACAGTAACAAATAATCTTTTGACAGCCTTTTTGGCCCGAAATAACCCATAATACACCATGTGTCTGCAGCACAGAGTAATGCTACATTACTTTCCTTATGACTTTCTATAGCTAAGGGATCTGGGGAAAAATGTACAAGTACTTATTTTATGTCCATCTCTAGGATAAGTGTAGAAGTTTAACTATTTGTTGTTGTTGTTAGTTGTGAAGTCATGTCCGACCCATCGCGACCCCATGGGCAACATTCCTCCAGGCCTTCCTGTCCTCCATCATCCCGAAGTCCACTCAAGCTCACACCAACTGCTTCAGTGACTCCATCTAGCCACCTCAGTCTCTGCCGTCCCCTTCTTCTTTTGCCATCTATTGTTCCCAACATTAGGCTCTTTTCCAGGAATTCCTTCCTTCCCATTAGGTGGCCAAAGTATCTGAGTTTCATCTTCAGGATCTGGCCTTCTAAAGAGCAGTCAGGCTTGATCTCCTCTAGGACTGACCGGTTTGACCACCTTGCGGTCCAAGGGACTCACAGGAGTCTCCTCCAGCACCACAATTCAAAGGCCTCAATTCTTCGGCACTCAGCCTTCCTTATGGTCCAGCTTTCACAGCCATACATTGCAACTGGGAAAACCATAGCCTTGACTATACGCACTTTTGTTGGCAGGGTGATGTCTCTGCTTTTTACTGTGCTGTCTAGATTTGCCATAGCTTTCCTCCCCAGGAGCAAGCATCTTTTAATTTCTTGGCTGCAGTCCCCGTCTGCGGTGATCTTGGAGCCCAGGAAAATAAAATCTGTCACTACCTCCATTTCTTCCCCATCTATTTGCCAGGAAGTGAGAGGACCGGATGCCATGATCTTAGTTTTCTTAATGTTGAGTTTCAAGCCAACTTTTGCGCTCTCCTCCTTCACCCACATCAAGAGGCTCTTTAGTTCCTCTTCACTTTCTGCCATGAGAGTGGTATCATCTGCATATCTGAGGTTGTTGATATTTCTCCCAGCAATCTTAATTCCAACTGGTGATTCATCTAGCCCTGCCTTTCTCATGATGTGCTCTGCATGTAAGTTAAATAGGCAGGGTGGCAGTACACAGCATTGCTGAACTCCTTTCTCAATTTTGAACCAATCTGTGGTTCCGTGTCCAGTTCTCACTGTTGCTTCTTGACCCGCATATAGGTTTCTCAAGAGACAGGCTATAAACACATTCATTTCTTTTTATTTCTCAAAGGCAAGTATTAGCTAACAGTGCCTTGGAAGAGGGAAGTCAGTGGTTGCTAAATCAATGTTGAGCAATCGCCTTACTTTTACTAGAAGTGTAAGATCAAGGAAGTTCTTTCTAACACACCAAGTTTTCCAAGTAACTTTTAAAATATGGTGGTAATGCGTTTAATGGTTCCACAAGTAACATTCAAGTGGACATCCTTTGCTTCTCAGCTTGTGTTATTCCAAAGATTATTCCAATGCTTTTGCCAAGGAAGTGTCTTAATATTTTTATTTAATTATATGTTGTTTTTATATATAAGCAAAGGAGCCCACAGCAGCATACAAGAGTGTCCCTCTCACCATTTCGTCCTCAGAGTAGCCCTCATAAGTGTCGGAAACTTCATGGCCGAGTGGGAGATGAGTCTGGGTTCCCCAAGTCTCAGCCCAGTCCTCTAACCACTACCTCACCCTGGCTGTATTGAAGTTGACAATTTTATGCTTCAGAGCATGTGCATCTCCTGTTCTTGCAAATGATCTTCACCTCAGTTTCCAACATACACCAACGATGTGTTTCTTGAGCCACTGCATGAAATATGGCAGGCAATACGTATTTGCACAGGGGGACGAGTAAGGTCTTCTCTGGAGAGCTAAGAAGTTTCCAGAGGCAGGCTCAGCTGACATTTGAGAACTGCAGTCTTAGTGCTGGAGATCTGCCCAGGGACTCCTCGTGGTTCAACTCCATGAACAGATTGAACCCTGCGCTGCCCTCTGTCCCCTTCTGCACAGAACGTCCTGATCTCACCTTCTGAAAGGGAGGGTAAATTTATTAGGATGATGAAAATGCCAGCAAAGGTTGTGGATGTTGTTGACGTTCAGGAATGATCTTGATGGTAAGTATTAATTTGCTAGGTTCAACGAGTTCATTCAGAGGAGCCCTGAGGACAAACACACATTATCCCTTGCAAATAAGCCTTAAAATAAACAGAAATAGAGGCAGGGTTCCAAATTATTTTTGAAAAGCTGTTTCATAACTACTGGGTTTACCAAGTCAGATTTAAAGAGTCCACAATATTTTCTAAGGAGGCTTCTCCCAGCCCACCCAGATCCCACACGTACACAGTGGTCACGTCCGACATAACAGACCATTTGCCAAACGAGAAGATGGAGAGCAAAAGCAGGTGTTTGTATAATACAGAGAGAAAGTATGTTCTTTTGATCCGGATTGTGGTTTAACCTGGGTAGGTCCTTGAACATGCGCTTTGCATGGAAGGATCATACTGCAGCTGAGGTTAAACAGACTCAGCATTTTCAAATCCAAAAAACATAACCGGTTCTGAATTCCTAATAAATGATTCAATCTATTTTGATGAATACTTTGGAATATTTGTTCAGCAAACTGAGACTAAAAACCACAAGGAGGGACAGAATTGCTGTACGCTTACCTGACATCAGCTGCTCACAATGCCTTTTACCAATTTTAGCTGCTGGATCTCCCTATATTGCTAGACAGAGATGACTGAGTCACAGTTGTCCATGCTCCAGCCTAGTAAGATCCAGACTAGATTACGCTTGTGCATTACATGTGGAGCTACCCTTGAAGAGAATTTGGGAAACCACAACTAGTACTCAATGCAGAAGCCAGATAATTAACTGAGACTGACCCTCAAAAAAGCATCACACCAGTATTGAAAGTGCTTCACTGGCTGCCAGTTTATTTCCAGGTGTTTCAGTCCTGCAAAGTCTCTTGCAAGCATAGAAAGTAGATGTACTGTCAGGGTAATTAGACAATTCCTTGGCACATGTAGGAAACAAGAGAAGTCTCTCTATTCCAGTAGGCATGCAAATCCAGCCATTTTCTGTACCCTTCCTTATGAGTGTGCAGAGTGATTTTAATCTCATACAAAGGCCCATGGCTTTGGTTAGCAGAAGAGAGAAGGGACTGACTTGCCCAAGGCAAATTACCAACTTGCTTAATGTCCAGGTAGGGTCCTGATCCTGGGCTACCCAGCCCTCACTTCCAGAGTTTAGCCTGATTCTCACCCATAACTAATTCTGGAACTGCTGCACACACATTTTACTCCAGAAATTGCCTATTAAACAACAACAACAACAACAACAACAACAACAACAACAACAGGGAGAATAACTGAGTGAAAGCAAACATATATTAGTAAAGCTGAGAGAAATATGGATGGTATGGAAAATATAACTGTGAAGATTAGTCTCACATGTTACTAAATCCTCTGGTGCAACATTGAACTTTTTTCAATGATCAAATGGACAATTGTTGAATGCAAACACTGTTTAATTTGAAGATTTAATTTGACCACGTTAAGGTGATTCCACTGATCTCAATGTGCATAGTGGGAACTGTGCCTCTTGCGGTCACTGCTTGTTCTGGTGTGGTGGTGGAACACCCTGTTTTAAGGGGACCGGGAGCAGCTTAAGTGGTGCTTGGGCTTCACTGCCATCTTCCCATGTCCATTCATGCAGATTCCACCCTTGTCTTTCTTAGGAAGGCCTTTGGGCTATCTAATGGTTTACAAATGTAATAAATAAATAAATACATACATAAATAAATACATAAATAAATAGTATGCATTTACTCCAGTTAAGATGATAGAGAAGAACATTCATTTGAAGTTAAACAACTAAGCTACAATGAAACATATGCATCTCTTTAGAGAAAGAAATGAAATGTAGGTTTCTGTGGCTCAGATCAGTCTGGACAGCACACTGTCCAGCCAAGGGTGTTTCCAGATGAGTTTTTTTTTTTTTAAGTGTGCAATCACCCTGTCTCATTCCTGAAATTTTCTAGGGGCTCACATGTCATTGTTTTCCATTTGTAGCCCTTCTGTGCTTTCTCATCACTTCTTCCATCTTTTTTCTTACCACAGAAAATCAATTGGGGAAGAAAAGACAAAATACTGTAGCTGCATCTGGAAGCAGCCAAGGTGACCTTCTCTGTAAGCCCAGTAGTGGTAAAAGAAAGGTGCTCAGCACTGTTAGCACTCCTTTTTATTATTCCTTATCAGATTTTGCTTTACTCCGGAAAACAAGAATCAATTAATCCCAGTTGAACACTAGGAAAGCAAGATCTAATCCCAGTTCTGCCACAGAGGTCTTTGTACTCAATGACAGCCTCCAATTTCAGTTGAAAGTGTCTTTAATGCAGTGGTGGAGGCATGTTGCCCTCCAGATGCTGCAGGACTGCAACCTCCATCACTCCCATTTGACAAACCCAATTGTGAAGGAAGGTGGAAGGTACAGTCCATCTCTGTTTTGAATGGAGCAGTTCTGTTTTGAACCGATGAAAGGGGTTCAGTTGGAACAGTTTCACAGATATAGCCTGAAGGTATACCATACAATCAGCTTTCTTTGCTAATCAGGTCTGAGTGAGGTCAGTGTCTGGACAGGAGATTGCCTAGAAACCCGATACCTGCCGCATTGAATCCACGCTGGGAGAAAGGCAGGATACCAATGTTCTTGAACAGACTCTCTTAACAGTTTAGAATGTCACCTCTTCCAAATTATACTCTTGCCTTTATTTGGCATTCAATAATTCGGTTACCTTCTTGGAATGGTGAACTTTGCATTCAGTCATCCTAAGCCAACAAGCATGTCTTTTTCCCCCAAGTCTTTTGAGCTTGCGTTCAAAGTTTGAAGGCTGCTTTCTGACAAGTGATTTGTTTCCATTAGAACATGCCTTGTTCCAGCCAGCCGTGACCATCTTGTACTTAGGGCTTTTTAACTAGCACGTCTCAACATTCCTAAAATCCCATAGAGAATCTGAAAATAGAATAAGAAATGAGAGTTTAAATAAGAAGAGAGCTGCCAGGTTTTTAAGCAAGATAGTGTCTCTTTCTCATCCTTCTCCTCTTCCCCCGCCCTTACCCACCCCCACAGGGTTGTAAGCTACATTTTCTAGAATACAGTGCAACTCCACGGAGAGTTGCATTCTCCCTTCTATTTATAGGAGTGTCTTTTAGAATGAAACAGGTGCCAAGCTGAATGAGACTGAAGGCAGGCCTTTATGCCCTTTCTGGGAGGGAAAGCAAAAGGGTGGGCATGAGGAGAAAGCAGGTGAGTTGATTAACTTGAGCTGGGGATTGACAGATCAGTGCTGAATGGGGAAGGTAAAGCAAGACTTTTTCACCTCATTTGTGGAGCTTTAACGACTTAGAATGCAATTGATTTAAGTGGCAGGGAAAGATACCAGCTGGCATGTCCTGGAAAATTAAATCCTCCATATATCAATGGAGAGAAAGTGAGAGTAACTTCAATACCTCCAGAGGGTGGCAATGTTCATCTATTTCAGCCAAAACAACGAAGAGTCTTGTGAAACCTTAAAGACGAACCAATTTATCTGCCCAGTGGTGCAGCAAGGTAATTTTGGATCCTGTATATAATGGCCTTATAGAAACTTCCTTGAGATTACCATATTTCTTCAGTTGTGAGGCACGCAAATAAAATTCCCCCACCTATTGCAAGCTAGTTGATGTAGGAATTAGAGTGGGGGGCTGAAGAATATGCTAGTGACCAGCCCAGGAAGACTTGGGCTCTCATGCCCACTCTCCTGCTGGGGTGACCTTTGGGGCCAATCATTGACTTGCAGCCTAAGCCACCTTGCGGGGTTTTTGTGGGGATAACATGGGGAGGAGGAGACGGGAGATACTGAAATAAATAAGTCACCATTGCACACCTTGCAAGTCATTTTATGTTCTTGGTGTGTTAGAACAGTAACATCAAAACTGTTTGCCCACCTGTGCAGTGTTGCATTTTAAACTCCCTTGAATCATAACAACATCGTGACTACAGGCATAAAACGGAGCTTGTGTCTACTGTCCTGGTTACCTCCCACTCTCTGAATGGTAACTTGGGGCCCTTGGCTAGGTGTGCAAACTCAGCTCCACTGGTCTATGACCATAATAAATAAAATAAATTAATAAACTCAGCTCCAAGGCCCAGGCCTGGCTGCACAACCAACAGTACAATCCCATGCATGTTTAGGTAGAAAAAAGTTTCACAACTCCAAGCATTGGTGGAAGTTGTAGGATTTTTCTTGTCTAAACATGCATAGGATTAGACCCTGATTCTTTCATAAGTTATTTCAAGGACTACAGCTCACGTCATCAGATGTGTGGAGTAAATGTTGTTTTTCAAATTTATGCGAACTACACATGGCAGCAATGGTTGTGATAGCACCATGAATTCCTGTGCCACAAATGCATGAAATCACAGGTATGATCCCCGTATATGCAAGAACATGAGAAAATGAGTCAACTTCTGAAGATTTCTGCTTGGCTCCACCAAAGCTATTAGCTCTGCAATTAGGCTGACCAAAACCAGTGGGCATCCACTAAATGGCCAGTTAGCAAAGATAACCCTGGAGGGCAATGAGACTCCCACTGCCGCCTTCTATTCCAGCACCACCTTTGTAGGTTGAATTTGAGTTTAGAGCAACACAAACTCTTCATTATATGTCTCTTTGAGTCATGAGCCACTCATGTTAGACTAACATGTATCAAATTTGCATAATATAGAGAGACAATTATGTTAAATGATTGACTGCCTAGAGAAAAAGCAGTGTTAATTTCCACAAAAATTAGCACTGTTCCTTTCATTATCTTTGCTTAATTACAACCATGTCTGGCTTTTAAAGAAAACTGTTTCAAACATTTCATATGAAAGTATTTCCTTGTTAGTGACATTCTCAAGAGGGTTTAAAATGGTTTTTCTTCTTCCTTCTCAGTTCGTAGGAATTGAAACCATAAATAGAAAATGTTATGCAAGGATGAACATTCACTTCTTAATACAATTAAAAAGCCAAGCAGCTTTTACTATATGATTGTGGCTATGCTGGGACAGAGTTAGCAACAGAACATGCTGCATTTGTGGGTTTAGCGCCTAACAGGGCAGTCCTGAGCATGTGCACTCAATCAGGCGTCCGGAGGGCTGGCTCTCACCTGAGGTAGGCTGAATCCTCAACCTCAGGTGGCAGTGTGGGTGAAGCAGGTAACCAAAGAGGGTCCTCTGGAGAGCCATGCCAGCCACTGTCCTGCCGTGGCCTTTGCAAGCCCCCCCCCCCCCGAGAGCTTCTGCCAATGTGCGTGCTCTAAGAGTGCTCGAAGGGCCCCACCAGCCACTCCCCACTGCAGCAACTGCTGTGTCCCAGCCCTCTCTTTCAGGCCAGCCCCATGACCCTCCAGGCAGACCTTGCACGGTGCTCAGCACATGACGGGAGGCAGGGGCAGTGCGAGGGGGAAAGCTGCTACAGCCGTGCCCTGAATCTCCATGCGGCCTTCTCTCTCCCACCCTGCCCACTGCATTGGCAAGCTTGCCCAAAGCCTTGCAAGATCACGTTTTCAGCTGAGATCTCACAAGACCTCATTTTCAGCTGGAATCTTATGCAATTTGGCCAAGATCAGGAGGACTTCTGTGTGGGGGCCTGCAAAACATCCGGTGGAATTATCTGGGCTGTGAAGGAAGAAAGTGGCAGTGGCTGCTTCCTTACAGCGAATCCATGGCAGGAGAGCAGCTGTGATGGAGAACGCATGGAGGCCACCATCACCTTTTTCAGCATCGATGGTCATATTGCAGGTAGGGATGTGACTTGGTACTGGCAACTTACCCATTTCAGCTCCTGAGCTGTTACCAGCAGCTGGGTCCAGAACTGTTACTGCTGTGCCATGAACGCTGTCACTTGTGGCTTTCTGCAGATCAAGCTACTGTTAAATGAACAGAAACACACCAGGAAGCATTTTCCTGAACTGTAGGAATCCCAATTACAGGTGGCAGTGGAAAGGGGTTTGTATACGGGGACTTTTTAGGGGAGGAGAGCTTTGCAGTAGAAGCATAGCTTGCACTGTTAGCCACTAGACTGATTAAGGAGATCAGAAGGCAGTGCAGCTACCAAATAGCAAGACTGAAAAACGTAAGTATCATATCTGAGCTTTTGACTGGCTTTAACATTATCATTGACTCATTCGTAACATATGTGCCTCTCTGTTACAGGATGAATAACTAAATGAAAATCAGTGATGGATTAGATCCTAGATTTGGGTTGACTGATTGTAGGCAATGACCCTTACCAAAGATAAGCGGTTTTTAAAAATCCCCAAAGTCAGGAAAATACAAATGGTTAAAAACAGGTAAAAGGCAAAGTAAAAACCCAAGTTACCTGAGTCAAAAGCAAGCTGCATTGATAAAGATGAGATACAAAGCTGGGGACTGATGCCTGTTCTCTGTAGAGGAACTCTGTGCAATCATCCCATGAGGCTGAATGGTTGATCAGGACAGACAAAAAGAAGTCCTTCTTCACACAGTACCAAGTTAAACTATGGAATTCGCTTCCATGAGATGAACTAAGGACCACAGATTTGTATGGCGTTAAATGAGGAATGGACCGATTCATAGAGGATACGGCTACCCATGGCTATTTGTCCTGAAAGTTATATGCTATCTCCTGTACCTCCTGTCCTCAAGCACTATGCCTGTCTACCCCTGTTCTGCAGGAAGATGTGCAGGAGACTTTCGCTGCACTTGCATCCTGCTTGAGAGTTCCCCATGGGCAGCTGGCTGGCCAGTGAGTAAGCAGAATGCTGGGTTAGGTGGACCCTTGGTCTGATCCAGCATGGCTGTTCCTCTGTTCTTCTGCAGCTGCTGCAATGTCGCCTTATCAGTCATGAGTCCAGCCTTTCTCAACCTGGTGGCATTTGGAGTGCAACTCCCAGAATTCCCATCCAGCAAGGTCATTGACTAAGAATTGTGGGCTTTGCAGTCCAAATGTGTCTGGAAGGCACAACGTTGGGCAAGGCTGAATTAGCCAGTGGGGAGGGAGCATGGGAGGTGCAGGCCAAAACATCTGGAGGCCATGAGTTGCCCACCCCTGTTCTAGAGTAAACCCTTCAAAGTAGCATGTCATGCACACATATTATTATTAAACATTTGGTCATCTTTTGTTTGGTTAAGTTTGCATCAGACCAGTAACATCAGAATTACGTGCACATGTCTATGTTTGTGTCACTCCTAAACTGGAAACCCAACCTGGTGGCTTTTCCCCACTTTGATTTTAGTAGACTTTGGATATGTTGACCAGAATACCTTTCCATCCACATGGCTGTTGTTGTAATCACTTTGGGATACATTAATTGCCCTAAATATCCCAGGGTGGCTGGCTGACGCTTTATCAATGAGTTAATAGTTAAGAGATACCTCGTGCTAGAGCCTGAGTGCTGGCTGTCAGAGTTTTGAGATGGTGAACCCATTCACCAAGGGTAGAGTTAGACCTCTTTTTGAAGACCTGATGTAGGGTAGTAGTAGTGACGGGATGTAAATTTGTTAGATTGGTGCTTGAATAGGAACCACCTTAATTCACATTTCCTGAACCAACATGCAAACTGAAATGCAGTTATCCTTCTGAGATCACACTTCTCTGAATTTTGATGCAGATCTCAGATCAAAGAATGCATACAAAAATTTATATGTTAGGGGGATGTATGCTCTAGAGGGAAAATGCATAGAATTTGCTTGCAAAAATGTTAAACAAAAGTGCATATATAATGTATATATTAGAAGAAATGTGCATGAAAACGAGAACTTGCAAAAAAAATGTTCACACCCTGATGAGGAAATGGAATGGAATGAATGTAAGCTTGGGAAAAAAGGAAACCAAGAAAAACTGAAACTGAGATTCATTCATCCCCACATAGTGTATCTGCTGTCTTGTGGAGTACAAATGCTGCTTGCCTCTATTTAGGATCTACTGGTGCACTTGGAAAGATATTATAAGAATGCCATAAGTCTCCAATGCTCTCTCCTCCAGAGCAAGTGAATCTCAGGTACTTTTGCCATTGGAATTTCTCACCAGAAAAAAGAAGTGGGTAGCTCATAGCAATATTGTTCTTGTTCAGTCACAAAATCATGCTCAGCTCCTTGCAATTCCATGGACAACATTCCTCCAGTCTCTCCTGTCCTCCCCCATCACCTGGAGTCCACCCAATCTCACACCCACCTCCCCAGTGACCCCATCCAGCCACCTCAACCTCTGCCATCTCCTTCTCCTTTTGCCTTCAGCCGTTCCCATCACCAGAGTCTTCTCCAATGAGTCTTTCCTTCTCATTAGGTGGCCAAAGTATTTGAACTTCAGCTTCAGTATCTGTCCTTCTAAAGAACAATCAGGGTTGATTTCCTTTAGGATTGACTGATCTGATCTCTTTGCAGTCCAAGGGACTCCCAGGAGTCTTCTCCAGCACCACAATTCAAATTCAGAAGTGTCAGTTCTCTGGCACACAGCCTTCCCTTCCTTATGGTTCAACTCTCACAGCCATACATTACAACTGGGAAAACCATTGCTTTGACTATACAAACTTTTGTCGGCAAGGTGATGACCTATGCCCATCCTTCAAAGTGATCCACAGAACTTTCTGAGGTTTGGAGGCTGACAAAAGAGAAGGCCTTTTTGGTAAAGTGCTCTCCCAGCTATCATTCCAGCTCCAGGCTAAGACTTTGCTGTTCTCCAGGGATTTTTAAAAATCAAAAGTCTTTTAAGATTAAATGCTTTTGCATCTTTGTATTTTATTCCAGAGTTATTTATAGTCTTGCAATGTTCTTGTATTTTATTCTAGTCCTGCAATGTAGTATTGTATTTTATGCTGTGTTGGCACGTTTATTTGTTTTATACTATTGGCACTATTTTAACTGGTATTCGTAGTTTTAGTATTATAGCAAAATGCCGAGAGAAGGCAAAGGGATGGAGCCAGAAATGTCAGCATGTTGCAGCTTAGATTTCTCAGTGCCACTAATGACGGTTTGAGAGAGGCATTTCAACCATTTTGAATGGGGGAAAGTGTGCAAAAGCCAGAAAGCACCAGAGAGACAGTGGTCATCAGGAAGAGGATGGGGCATACCTACCTAGGCGAGGTGAGGACCCTATGTGAGCACTCAGCCAGTGATTCAGCACCACTGGTGTGCACTAAGTTGACCCGGACTTGCTTTACGACAGCTTCATATTGTTATAAGAATTCAGGAAAGCAGAACAAAGTTTCCTCAAGACTTTGTACATGGCTGTGGACAAGGAAGAATTGACCTCATCTGAGTATTCCATGCAAATTCTGAGCTAACCCTTTTCTAGAAGTGAGGCCCTAGGTCACCTTACATTCACGTTCAAGACAGTTACTTGTGGAGAGGCCAGGAATGTCTCTGCCTACGTGCCCAGGAAAAGGTGTGGTTGCTCCACACACAGTTCCATTATACTTATGTAATACCTAAGAAGTAAAACCTAGAAACTGCTTTTCAGCTAGAGTTTATCTCTCTTCATCTGACTATACTACACCCTGTACCAAACTAGGCAGGATTCTGAGAGATGTTGCAAGCAGGGTTGACCTCTTGTTCGCCAACTGCCTCTGTGATTGTCCAAATCATTTTGCATATACTGCAGGCCAGATAAGAAACTGGCAGGCCTGAGTCACAGGTTCAGGGGCCATCAGGAGTCTATGATGATGGCAACATGCTGTGAATAATTCCACACAAGGTCCAGGGAAAGTGGTCACAGTGACTTATGGTGCTGGCTGGGTTTATTTGGTGTGGGTGCCTGTCCTCTATTGGACTGCCTAACTTGACAGCATCCACCACTATTAAGGGAACAGGTTTCTTGAAAAATAGCCATATGAAGGAGGAGGTGGGCACTCAGAGCAGAAACCAGAAAGGGACTGGGAACTCTGAAAAGGAAAATTGCCTGGACAGACACAAGATACGTTGCAGACATAAAGGGTTGGATCCTGAATTAGCCATCCTTAGAGCGGAGGCACTGAAATCAGTTGGACTTAAGTTCATTAACACCAACTTAAGTCCCATTGTTTTCAATGAGTCTATTCTATGACTAAGTCTGAATCCTTCCCAATCTTTTTATTTCATTAAACAAAATACTTACACCCTGTTTACCTATATAAGGGAACACATCTAATGGGGCTGATACCAAAAATAAAAGGAAATAAGATAAAATAAATGTAAAGATATTCTCACCTACCCTGAGCCTTGAAAATGAACATGTATGGCCATAGAGCTATTTTGGTCAGGGTACTGAAAATAATCCTGATGGCACAGCATCTCCCTTTCTTGTTAATTTCAAGGAGAAGTTGTACTCTAGTTTATGCAAGTACTTCAAGGTAGTAATAATGCAAATGACCCTAAGATGGCAAATGAAGCAATGCCAGGGCAGGAAAGCCATTATTTCTGTCGCTGCCTATGGGTGTAACTGCTGCAACGTACGTACATGAGGGATCAAATCTACCACTGTTGACCATTTTGTATATTGAAATGTTATGTGGTATTTTCTGATCTGTACTTGTGGTTTGTAATTTTATGAATTGTTATGAACCACCCAGAGAGCCTTAGGTACTAGGAGGTATAGAAAAAATAAAATTATAAAATAAGAGAAAGAGCTACTGATCCTTCTGCCTAACTATAACACACTTGCCTGTATGAGGGCCCTCACAACTTTAAGCTAGAATGAGTCAGCAAAATGCAGCTTCACCAAGAAAAAAACATAGAAATTCACAATGCATCTCTTCTACATTTAAGGGTTGTGTGTGTGTGTGTGTGTGTGTGTGAGAGAGAGAGAGAGAGAGAGAGAGAGAGAGCGAGAGCGAGAGCGAGAGCGTGAGCGAGCGAGCTTAGGAACATACTAAATACAGCTAGTATCATTTCCAATTCTTTTCCCTAAACGCTGAAAATGTTAACATTCTTCTGAATTCTGATTTCAATTGGAGAAGAGTTATGTAAGTGAAAGAACAGCAATGAGATGATAATAATGATTCACTGCCTTCCTTTGCAGACTGAGTTGCATAATCTTCCCAGTGATTACAAAAGCAAAATAAAATAAAACAAAACAACAACCCATAAAAGTAAGTTGAAGTTTCTGTGTTATGAAAGCAATCGCTCTTTAATAAAAGCAGAACTCTCACGGCTTCTCTGAAAGTTCGCCACACCCACATCTGACAAAGTATTTACCAACCATCCTGAAAATAGAATCTCAGAGAATACTCAGCAGATATATTGTGGCTTTTGACAACTTTAGTCAAAGATCTAGCACAACCTTTTCCCACATGTGTCCTCCTGATCTGTGGATTCTAATTCCTGGGAATGATGGGATCAAAATCCTACTGACTGGGAATGATGTGACTTGCAGTCTTGAGCATATAAAGGACACCAAGTTGGGGAAAGCAGGACTAGCACAGTAAATGTGGGATTTGATTTGGTTTGGTTTTTTTTAAGATAGCCATCCTGTGCGTGGCTAGAATTCAGGTTTGCGAACAAAGCAAACTTGATCCACCAACCAGCTAAGCAAAAGTGCTTGAATGGAAGCCAAGTTGAATTGGAGTCTTTTTGAAGTCAATCAGATGGGGTTGGCTCTTTTCCAGGTATTCCAATGCAAATGGGCTGTGGATTGGGATTTTACAGAGCGATAACATTTCTATTGTACGTTAATGACTTGGTCAGCTCTTGCTATTTTTATATTTGTGGCATACGGTAATGAGACCACTTCTGATCATTGTTTCTATTCACCCCGTAAAATCCCATCTAAACCAAGCTATCAACAAGCTGATGTAATGTAGTTTATATAATAACACTGAAGTGCTTTGGTGCATGATTATTGTTGTAATTAACCACATGCCTTTTATGTACATTATGAAAGTACCCGCCTGTCCTAGTTAATGAAACAAAGCCCAGTAAATGTTAGGGCTTTGCACCAAGTTGCCTAAAAGTTTGAGAGACAGCAATTAAGCTGCGGTGCTTATGATTAATGTGATTTCTGAAACTGCAGCACTTACCAGCCTGCATGGCCTACTTCACATAAGTGACAGTAACCTACTTTATGACAGCTGAGTACCAGAACTTGCTCTTTGTGTTTGTAGAACATTAACGCAAGGCAGCAGAAGTCATCCCCTTCTATTGATGTCTTGATCTGCCCATCCTTACCTCATCTTTTTGGTCGATCTAGAAAGTAGGACTTCCCTACCCTGTAATTGTGGTGCAGAGGCAGCCTACAAACCTGCTCAGAATGGCTTCTGAAAGGGACAGCCTCTGCTTTGAAGGGCATTCTGTCTGCTAAAGAACAATAGTCATGTTCACATCGATAAAGTCAACCAGCATTCAGTATTTCTCAAGGGTTTATTCTCTGCCTTGCTGCTGTACTTGTCATATACTCTGGAAGTACAAGAATGTACTCCAACAGTTTCTCCACAAGGAAGTTCTCTCAAGAAAATTGTCCCTCCGCTCTGATCTATTTCTGCATCTGCACAGTCGTTTTCCAGACTGCCCCCATTATGCAAACTGTGGAAGTCAAGTCATTTATGCAGTTGCTTTGCAGCTCTTCCTTCTTGTGGGGAGTGGGAACATAATCATTGGAGCTTCCTTTCTTAACAACAAACTTTAAAACATGTTAAGTGGTTTCTAAACTCATCAATTCAAGTGAAGGTGGCTGAATGGCAATGATACTGTTGTAATTGGGATGAGAGCATTTGTACCTGCTGAATCGTGCCAGGAAAAGACATTCTGCTCCTGGAGGACCAGGATAGCGTTCCATGCAGGGAAGCAAATGGGACTGAACCCTGATCTAAGGTTCAGGTTCAGCTATCTTAAGGATTCAGGCCAGGCCAGCTGGACATATGAGTCTGGCATCCAACACTTGGTGCTATTCTCTGGCCCTCAGCATCTGCTGCTTAAAGTCGCTGCTTCACCCAGTCTAGCACAGGGCCGTCTTAACAGCATTATGGGCCCCAGGCAAAGCAGTGTACTGGGGCCCCTACGACAACTACAACTACTGTTAATTTTGGAAGTTTTCCAATTTTCCAAGGGTTAACATACACAGATTAGTATGGGGCCCACAGGCAAGTGCCCATCAGGCCCATGCGTTAAGACGGCCCTGGTCTAGCAGGGTCAGCCCTGCTGCTGAAAATGGCAGCAGCTCACCATTTAGAAGGAGAAAGGTGTGTGGCTCTGTCTCCTCCATTGGTGTGAATGGAGCCACTCTTATAGTCAGGGCATGTGAT